CAGATAATTTCACTTATACAAGACATGTTTGCAACGGTATAATTGAAATAATCTGCATGAGGATCAAAACTTTTTCATCAATATTAAGGAATTATTGACTTGAAACCAGCTACTGTGTATCACTGAAAAGTTACTTGTAAGTTAGTTTTGTCTTATTTAAAGTGTGCTAAGACATTTGCGATAAAAAATAGACCAAAGCTACTTGCTAAGATTTTGTTTTTCTTGTTTGTAGGTGCAGAAATTTAGCATAGATGTTTTTTGGTGTGGCACGATTTTTTTTTTTTTTATCTTACTGTCTTTTGATAAACATCCAACAAAAGACTGAGTTTGCAAATTAGCCTGTGGCTAAAACAACAGTTCCTGTTTTTCACATGTAGCATTGTTTCATGTGCCGTCTTTGATTTAGTAAATTTGAAGTTTTTGCAGTGTAGTTTCTAGCTGTAATAACTGAAGTGACTCCCGTTTGTTTCACGTTGGGTCTTAAAGTTTGGGTGTAAAAAGAAACTTTACATTTTCCATCGTAAGGAAATTATGTGGGTAATAATTTCACCCTGATTAAAATAAAAAGGTTCCATATGTATCAACTGCCTGCGCTGTTACATTTACTAAATTACATTTACTTGAGCAACTTTTTATAAAAAAACACTTTTATGAGTATTTTTACTAAGCTGCACTTTTTACATGTATAATTTTATTATGAAGCATTTCTAATCTCACTTGAGTAAAATTTCTGGATTTTCTACCCACTGAAAGGAAAACAAACAAGTCACAAAAAAAATCTAAATTTTTCAGCAGTTTTTGTTAAAGTTTCATATGTTTTTTAAAGAAAGAAACTGATTTGGATTAAAAAAAATTGCTTGATTGTTATTTTTGTAACATATGAATTACTTTAGTTTTGGTCCTTAAAACACAAAAATTTCCATTTAACTTTATATTTTGCTCCCTCTGATGATGTAATTTTAAAATATTAAATTATTGATAAATTGATCAGTTACTCAGTTCTTGAGCTAACATTTTACCAAATACTTTTTTACTCTAGAATAATTTCCTGGACGGCTACTTTCTACTTTTACTTGAGTAAACACATATGTTGAAGTAGTGCTATTTTTATTTCAGTACATTTTTTGTCTTCTGCCCGCCTCTGCCTGCATTTCTACACATTTCATTATTAAACACAGAGAGCTTCTCACTCTTTACTGCAGCTTGGTTACCTAATTTGTTGCACATCGATTCCTGCAGCTCTCAGATTCACAGACCTCCTCATCAACACGTTACGCGCTGCAGCCGCTCCCAGAATCAGATCCATTACTTTGTTCGGAGCTTATCGGGTCATAATTTGAGGTGGGCGCAGTCGATGAGGTTTTGATTTAGTTTGTGCGTGCTCCTTATTACTCTCCATAAATGATCGTCCCGGTACAGTGCAGGGATCATCATCATACAAAAGAGATCTGCTCGCCGTACGACAGAAGCACAGGCAGACAGTTGGTTTCTATACTCTCAAGCATCTGGAGGGTCATTCACATCGATCCCCCGTGGTAGGGAGTGCAGAAAGACTTTTGGAGGAACAAGGAAATACAATCTGGTAAAGGATATAAAAAAAGGAGGGTTGTTTCCTATGAACATCTCTATGGTGTGTTTTAGCCAAAAAATGTTTCAACCTAAGGCAGAAATCAAGTTCTTTGGGGTTTTTTCAACACTTAAATCCATAACGAGAACAAAATGTTTAATTCAGAAATACTTTATCTCAAAGATAAATTAAATGTTTATTTGTTGGGATCCTCTGAGAGAGAAACTTGTCAGTAACAGATTTATTTAAAGGTGTTTTCACACCTCAAGTGTTTAGTTTTAAAATGAACTGTTTTAGTTTTCACGGTTTGTTTGTGTAGATATGAAAACAGCAGCAGAACCGAGACGGTTTGGAGGAGCCAGTCAATTCAGAAATACTTTATTTATCCCAACAGGAAGCTAAATGTCAGCTGGTTGGTTGTTCTGCAAGTTGTTGGTTCTTAGTTGGTTTTTAGTATTTCTTGGTTGATTAGCTAGTTGGTTATCAGTTGATGGCTAGTTGTTTGTTTTTTACTGTTGGTAGTTAGTTGGTTTTCAGTTGTTTGGTTGTTGTAATGTTTTTAAATATGGTCATAATAACCAATGTATGGAATAATAGGATTACATTTTCACAAAAAAATGACATTAAAAAAATTTTATATCTAGTTTTCTTGTCATTACACTGAAAGTTTGTGCAATTTTTATTTAATGTTCCACAAATATAAACCCTCAGAAGAAAATTTATCCATCCTCTTCAGCCAAAGTTTTTATAGTTTTTATATTTTTATTTATTTTGAATCCCAAAGAAACAGAAAGTTTTCTTTCTATTTATATGCACAAATTGTCTTTTCTCCCCCATTTCTGCAACATGGGTCATTGAGTATCTCATGCTGGGAGAACAAAACATCCCTACAAACTAAAACTATTACCTCAGATAACAAAAAATAAATGTTTTGTGTGGAATAAAGGATGAATTTAAGGAGGAGGAAACTTCCTGCACTCCACTCCTGCTCTGATCGCCTGCAGTCGGTAGCTGGATGCCCATTTTAAGGTCAGGAATCCACTCAGTCATCAGTGCTCACCGGCTGCTGTGTGTGTGTGCGTGCGTGCGTGCGTGCGTCTGATGCAAGCTAACACATCCTGCTCTGCTTCAGGACAGGCCCGGTTATCTAACAGAGCAACACGGAGTCGGACAAAAGGCCGCATTGTTCCCCGGCGAACACCTGAACCCGCCGATGGGAAAGCTTTTGTTGCTGAAACGAGTCGAAGACTGGAACAACTTGTACATGTTACCATGAATAGAGCCGTACCGATGTTTCATTTATCAAATTCACCGACTGTAGTAACTCTGGCAGCTTCGACAAAGAAAAACTTGATGGTATTCAGACTGAGATATTAGTGGAGTGCAGCTCCCTGCTGAACAACTAAATGTATTTTCAAATAGCAAAGACAAAACAATCAGGTTCGCTCTCTACGTTGGGGTAAAAAAAAACAATCCCAGTGGACATAAATATATCCTGAGTTTTGATAGAAATGCATGTTAATCTCAGTGTCGTATGTTGGATCTTAGCAACTTTCACACAGGAAAAAAATGAGATACATGCAGGAAGGGAAGCAAGAACAGAGGTTTGATCTTTATTTTATTTATTTGTTAAAGATGCAAAACTTGCAGTTGAAGAAAATTAAATATAAGATTTGTGTAAATAAATTTTAAAAAATTGTTGGTGTTTGGAAATGAAATTGGTTTCTTTTGTATACGAGTCTTTTTCTTCTTTTTCTTTTGTTTTTCTTTTTATGGTATGTTGGTTTAAATGTTTGGTCATTTGTTTCTGACCTAAATGCTTATAAACATGTAACCCATACAAACTTGGACTGTATTGTGTCTCTGTCTCTTTAAGAAGCTCCTGCTCTTTCTGAAACTCCATCTTCAGAAAGTCATCACATCATGGCTCCTCTATTAACCCTTTAACGACATTTATACCAGGTTTCACCGACAGGTAGCTCCTGTAACGACAGGTAGCTCCTGTAACGACGGGTAGCTCCTATAACGAGATCAGCAGATGTGCAATTCTACCAGGTGTTTGCTAATTGCTGCTGGCTAGTCTGAAGGAGCTGAGTGGGGGAAGCTCAGAAGCTTGGAAACTGCAGCTCAGAGGAGGAGCTTCGTTTTGTAGGCAGCTGCTGATTGGTTACCATGGAAATTAATGGATTTCTTAAACATGCATAAAAGAGTAAAATTAATACTCCAGGTTTGTTTTTGATGAAGCTAAAAAACAGATTTTACATCATACTGCCCTTTAAAATAGCTATAAAAAGCTGGAGATAAATTTTAAAATATTAAGAAAAATCTATTTAATTTTAATTTGTTCCATCAAAGATAAGAGAAAAAAAGAAAGTATTATGTGTGTTTTTCTGATTGGTAGATACAGCCAAAGCTGGTTTTGCAGACACAGTGACATCGGAAAGGACAAAAAAGCTCAGGGAAACATTCATGCACTGAAATTACTTTGCAGCTTTAAAGAAAAACAATCCGTCTGTAGAACGACTAGATCCTCAGAACTGAGCGAAGAAAACAAAAACGCATGAAATCTCTAAGAGAATGTTCAAACGTACAAATGAAGTGAAGAAAACTGATTACGGTCTTGTTGTCTCTCCTGGAATCAGAATCGTTTTGCTGCAGAAACACGACGGTTGTTTCAGTGTAGCGTGTTTTTGCTGCTAACCCAGCAACCCTTAGAATGATCTCTAAAATTAGCCAATTATACACACAATTTCACAGTCGCAAATGTCCCAGCAAGTGGCCTATTCAATGGAGCTTCCTTTCCTTAACGGCTTCACAGCCACAAAGTCTTTACATAAACGATTTCCCACATTTTGTAATTGCAACATCAGAAGCAAAACAGCTTCAGCATGTTTAAAGATTGAACCAAGTTAACGACACAGAGAGTCGATCAACAAAGAGCTGGGAGAGGCGGGGCTCCGACGCACTTTTCAGAAATACTCTACAGTTCAAGATAAAAAATATTTTTACAGCAGGTAGAAACTGGGAGAAAGAGAGAGAAAGGAGAAAATGGTGGGAGGAAGGAAGGAAGGAAGAAGGAAACAAGCAAAGAAGAAAGAAACGAGGAATACAAGGAAGGAAGGAAGGAAGGAAGGAAGGAAGGAAGGAAAGAAGGAAGGAAGGACGGACACATTAAGGTATTTAAGGGCAGAAGGGAAACAAGGACAAGAGAGAAGAAGGAAGGAAAAGGAGAGAAGAAACCAAACCAGGAAGTATGAAAGGATTAAATTAATGAAGAAACAGAAGGAATGTTATGAAAGTAAAACAGTTTATCATTCATCTCCCCACAGCAGTCAGACATTTTGTTTCTGGTTTCTGAGTCAAAGATCTGAAGAAACATCTTTATAATCTATAAAACTTTAAAAAAGCAGCAGCAGCAACGTTTCTTCCTCACCTCTGCACGTCTGCAGGCCGTCCAGAAAGCTGTGAGCGGGACATGCGGCTATGCAGACGCCACGCTGGAGGAGAAAATCCTGCGGCAGGAAAACCTCCTCTGGCTTCAGGCAGCGGCGGCAGTCTGAGGCGAGCGGCCCGACACAGGACCGGCAGGACGGATGGCAGTCTGAGAACAGAGAACAGAACCTTCTCAGCACCATTATGTCTTAATAAAACTTGTTTTGTTTCAATTTTTTAACTTTATGCACATTACATCACCAAAGATTTAATGGCATGTCTGCCAGGGCCGGCCCAAGGCATGTGCGAGTAAAGTGGCTGCTAACTGCTAATACTTTTTTACCAAATACTTTCTTACTGAGTCATTTCTTGGACGGATACTTTTTACTTTTACTCGAGTATAATTTCTGGGTACTCTAAAATCATTTTTGGGTACTCTACCCACCTCTGTTCATATGTCTGCTTGGGTAAGTAAAAGTAATTTAATTACTTTCTTTGCGGCTGTAATCAGATTACTGGGCGTTTGAGCCCGACTGATGCTCACTGTGGCAGCTGCTGTCCTGAGGGTACAGGCCGTCGCCGCAGTCCTCCACACACTGGCCCTGGTGGAGCAGAAGACCCGCTGGACAGGAAGTGCACTGGGCCACCGACGGGCCCCAGCAGGAAGCGCAGGACATGTGGCAGGCTGGCAGAGGACAGCGAGGACAAAGACGGAGAAATTATAGGACAAAATGTTTGGTTTTTGAAGATTAAAATGAGGAAAATTCAGCACCTCGCAAAGTTATACTTTAATATCAGTTTTATAGATAAAGACTTAACCTTTTAACACAAGAGCATCAAAATATTGTCAATTTATTTATAACGCACTTTAAAAACATATAATAACTGCAGCAAAGTTCTGTACAGTATTCATAAAAACACAGATAAAAACATAAAAATAAAACCACAAAGTAAGACAGGATAATTATTATCAGAACCAGGACACATTTATTTAAAAATAACCTCAAGTCAGATTTATCTAAGCTTTTCTCTCATTAAAACAACTTTTTCTTGCAATTTTAAGGCATTCTTCCAGTAATGATTCCATTATTTTAATTAAACAAAACATTGTAGCCTGGCCACAATATTCACAGAAAAGATGATTTGAAATAAACGCCGCTTTTCAAAAATGTTTTCTATTGTTTATATCTTCTTTTTTTTAGAAAAGAAAGCAGTGATTAAATTTGTAAATTGCATCTGGTAGGACAAAATAAAACATGTTGCCCAGATCTCCTACCTTTTTTTTTTTTTTTTAGTGCAGTTTTTGTACAAGTGTCAACAGATGCGTCACCCACCTCTGCATCTGCTGCGGCTGTCCATGTAATGCTGCGCCGGACACTGAGTAACACACTTCCCATGATGCAAAGCAGTCCCGGCGGGGCAGCTCATACATTTGGGGTTGTCAGGGAAACAGGAGGCACAGGACGAACCACAAGCTGCGAACCAAAGCAAGCAAATGTTAATGCCCTTCATGTTGGAATAACAAAAAAAAAGAAAGGCTTGTAGTCCATTAAAATTAATACAGTTTCTCAAGGAGAAAGACACAATTAAATAGAGCAGTCAGAATCTGAATGCAGAGCTACAAAAACGTTCTGAATAAGACATTAGTCAGAAGATAATGCATTTGTTATTGATGGAAAAACAAGTTTAGCAACCGGAAGGAAGGGACTTATTTAAACATAAACGAGCTTCTCGGTATATCAGAAAATCACAAAGTTAATTTGTTTCTGCAATTTAATGAAAACCTCATGAGAAATTAATTAAAGAGAGCCACTGATCCATCACCAGAGGAGGGTAACCAAAAATGTACTCAAGTAAGAGTAGCACCAATTCAAACTAGTTTTACCTGAGTAAAAGTAAAAAGTAGCCGAAAAGCTAAGAGTAAAAAAGTATTTGGTAAAAGGTCTCCTCAAGTAACTGATCAAATGATCATATACGCCTAAATAAAACACCAAAGTCTCCTCCTAATGGAAATGCTTCAGTTGTGATGTTGTGTTTTTCAACATTTTTGTGTACATTTGTGATGGAAACCCAGTTACTGACTGTAGAAACGTCACTTCCTCTCCTCTCTTCCTCCACATTCTGGGACTTTTATCTCCAAATTAAATCCAAACTTTACTTTAATCTGAAAAGACGACTTTGGGCCGCTGAGCAATGGCGTCATGATAGGTTGAGACGCAGCAGAGCCAAAGTGCAGACAGCAGCTTAAGTGATGCATAATTGAAGGTTTAATAGAAAAAAAAAACACTCATGAAGACTCAGGAGCGGGAAAGAAACGAGAGATGAAGAAAAAGAGAGCGGCAGGAGGAGCAGGTGAGCAAACAGGTGGGTTCAACGGGCTTGATTACGGAGCCAGGGCGGTAAAGTGACAGGAGCAGATTAATCAGTTAAAATATGAAACAGCTGTGGGAAGGAGAAAAGCGTGGCAGCTGAGGGAGGAGACTAATTAACATGGAAGGCTGAGACTAAGGTTCACACAGCAGGCGACCTTTTCTGACCCATACGACTATTTTTAAAGCATCTTCAGTGAAACAGTCATTTTATAAATTTTATGACTTTATGCTTTTATGTCATTGATTAGAGGCGTGTCTTAACTGTAGAGGAACCAGATGTGGTGAATCGTGAACAATGGCTGCTGTAATCACATCACAGTCCCACCACTCTTAGCTCCGACTACATCCAATATTATAACACAATATGTATTGTGATGGGTGGCAGTAACAATATATATCCCAATGTGATATTTTATTATGCGATTAATTGATTTATTGATTATCGTGACAGCACTAATACAAATGCATAAAACCGCCATCACATCTTTGTTTCAGGATTGAAATCAAGAAGGTAAATCCCCTTCAGAAACTTAACATTTCCAACCAGATTTCAGAGCAGGAACTGGTTCAGATGTGTTTGACCTCTTCCCCCTGATTCTGACATTTTCCGAAAGCAGAAACTTCACCAAGTTGAAGCCTTTTCTACGAGCAGCAGGAAAAGAAGAGCTCCTTCCACTGTCCTCTGGGTGGTTTCCACTAGAAGAAGAGCTCAACAATGAGCTGCCAGCTTCTCAGTCAGCCTCAGGGAAGACTATTTCTGCACCTATATTATCATCCCACCCATTAAAAATAGAAGTTATCCATATTCATACAGCATCTCTTTATTCTGCACCCTCATTAGAGCACAAAGGACCTGGTAATTATTGTTTTTTTCTCCTTTGTTTGCCAACTTTGGCTGACTAATCCTTTAAGCTCCACAGAGATGCTAACACAATAAACCCAAACAAACCATCACCCAAAGTTTAATGCAATCAATAAAGCTTTTATTGCCTCAAATGCTGTTTTCATTTGATTTTATTTGACACAGGCACATTGTTTGACATCTAATTTGTCTAATAAAATATCCACTTTCACTCGCCAGAGGAAACATGAAACAAACCGTATACAAACTGCTTGGTTAATCTTTGCGAAACTCTTCAGTGATGACATTCTGAAAAATATTTATTCTGCAGTGAAAGTTTACCTTTAAAAGTAGGTTGGCAGTAATGTGAGCAATTTTAATCAGGGTTCAAACTACTGCACTGAGGAAAACAGGATTAAAGCAGAAGACTTTGTGCTGCTCATGTTCACTGGAAAACAGTTTATCTGCTTAAATATGAGCAGATAAATGGCATTAGCAGTCAAAGGGATTCTGAGGAAACTGGGTGTGAATGTTTATAAGTCACCAGATGAAACCTCAAAAACACAAAACTTATAAAACATTTATTAACAGTGGGCCTACCTTTGACAAATGCAAATATAGAGATACTTTAAAAGCTTAAAGCAAGTTGAAATCATAATATTTATAAATTTGCAACTTTGTAAAAAAAAAAAACTTTTTAAAATTTTTCTAGTAATAATGGACTTTATTCATCAGTAAGTCAACAGAAAGACGGTTTGTGAATGGCATGGTAATTTTTACCAGCTTTTTTCTGAATTTGTTAGACTGAAAAATCTTAGTTCCTATAAGAAAAACATTTATTGTTGTTACAGAAGACTTCAGGAAAAAAATGTAATTTACAGTTCTCATAAAAACTGGTAGAATAATTTTAATTCCAATGTGTGTTTGGATACGGAAGCCCAGAAGGATAAAAAAAATGTAAAAGTGACAAATGAGTGACAAAAAGGCATAACGGAAATCATGCTAAAATAAATTATGCTAGCAAGTTCATCATAAATTTTGTTTTAGCAAAATTCTGTTGTGACTTTTTGTTTTTGTGTTGTGGATTTTTATTGTGTTGTAGTCTATTCTGTTTTGACCCTTCTGGGCCACCATATTTTTGAGTCATTCAAACACTTTTGCTTTTTTAAGGAAGCCAGAAACTTTTTTTCAGGTTTTTAATGTAGTCGGTGTTAAAAAAAAAAAAAAAAAAAAGGCTAGAACTAGTTTTTAAGCCAGAGAACCAACCCAGTAGTTTTGTGAAAATGTTTTTTACAAGTTGTGGCATAAATGAGTTTGCAGAAATTTAAATACAAATACTGCATCATAATTCCCTCTTGCAAACTAAGAAATGAGGTCTACCAATGAAAAAATAAATAAATAAATGTGTTTATATCTACACAAGTTTGCCTCAGAAAGTGAACTCTTTCGGTTTTTATCTATATGAGGCACGTTTTAAAGTGAGAAAAGTAAAGTGCATCTTACTGAGCTTGGGAAATGGAGGCAGGTGTGAAAACAAGTCCCAAAAATGAGAAAACCCCAATCAAATTTACATTTCAGCTCCTCTTATTTCCTTACGGGATGTCCTAACAACTCATATAAATGTTCCTCTTGATCCAAACTGGCTTGAGGACCAGAGAGACTGAATTAAAGCGGTGAACTTTTCCTGACGACAATTTGTACGTTTAAATAATGCAACATACGGTTATGTTAATTTTACCGTAACAGATTCCTTCCTGGTTGTAGTATCCTGCGCCGCATTCGGAGACACAAACTCCGTCTTTGAGCAAAGCGGCCGGATCGGAACATGACAAGCAGTCCTGCTGCGTCGGTCCGCGGCATTCAGAACATGACGCGTGGCAACCTGCATGACGGAGAGAGGACAGAAACGGCTTAACGCGGTGGAGAATGTTGTTCCAAAGGGCCAGAGCAGAATATACACAAAAACAAAAAACACAAAGTCTGGAGTTCATGATTTTACACAACACAGGAGGAAATCTAATCATCAGATACACTTCAGTCAGGTAAATGAACATTACAAAAGAATATACACAAATTTATGTTCAAATGTGCATTTATACATGTGTACAGATACTGGTTCCAGAAAACATATATACATCTACATAACAGTATACGCTTTTATTACTTTACATTTTAAGGTTATTTTAAAGCTCACTATAAACAGCATAATTTAAAATCATCCTTCAAGTCATTAAATAGTTTCACGATTTTTGTTTCGTCCTTTCTACATCATTATTTCCACTATTTTCATATAAATAAAATCTTTAAAATATGAAATTATTGCTTCTTGGAGATGATTATAATTCATATCTGAGCTAGGTGAATTATTGCACAATATTCCATGTGATATTTTCACAGATAAACATCTGTGTATTATTCCAGTAACGTAACTTTAATACTACACAAGACAGATCACTGGTTGGGAGGAGCAACTATATAGTTTTGATCGTGACAGGGGCTTATTTTCTTTTTTCTGTTTTCTATTTTAACATTATAGATGTCGAGATTTATTTATTCTTCAGATATATTTGATTTAGTCAAGAAGTTGTTTCTCCAGACATTTATTGGTGTATTAAGTTCTCCTAAGCTGTTCTTGACGGTTGGTGGTTACCGTAGCAACCAGTAACTGACAGCTCCTCCCCATTTTTTCTGTTGCCGTCGGTAACTGTGTCATGTTTTGGGATCAGCTTTGTGTTTTCTTTGCACTTATTATATTTTAACATATTTTAGACAAACTTAATCATATATAGTGTTCCATGAGTAATTTGTATATGTTTTTAATTGTTAATAGTGTTGTGCATTTTAGCTATGTTTAATTTTACAACTGCTAGCTCCCGCTAACACATGTTAGCTGCTGCTAACTGTTGTTACATAGTAATAACAAAAAATAAGTACAACTGGTTTTTTTCTCATTTACTAACCGTATTTCTGTATTCATCTCAATTTCAGATTAATCAGAACCACAACCATCCAAATGTTTACTACTAACATTTAATAATAAACTTTGACTTTAACAAACAAAAGCTTTTCTTATTGCTGACATTTTTCTCGAAGTCAAAGTCAAAAAGTTAAAGTCAATCGTTTTCTCGAAACCTCAGATTTCAGGAAAACGATTGAAATCAAAGGTGAAGAAAAGGCTCTCTGCAGTCACACTGATGTATTTTCTATGTGTCAGTGCTTCTTATATGTAATAATCTCTTATTTGAAGTCATAACAGCTGCCAGCACCGGTTGCCAAGGCGACATACTTGGGTAACCCTTGTTATACTAAAAACCTCAGAGCAGAACCTTATTTAACATCTGTCCACTGACACAGTTGTCAGACATTTAAATTATCCATTAAGCTTGAATCTCAAGGAATAGCTGTTGATTTTCTTTAATCACAAACATTCAAGCTAAACACAGAAAGCATCATATTTTTTAAAGACCAGCACTGTTTGGGACATGGAGAAGGAAAACTTCAACGTGGCTTTTGTAAAGCATTTCTGGGACGAACAGATGTATATTTTACCTGTTGTGTGCATGTGATATAGTTGCCAATCTAATCTTTTTCTAGCAGCTCAGAAATCAGGGAAAATGTGACAAATAAACTAAAAAAAAAGACACTTGAAACTTTAATTTCATCAACCTTAAGCTGCATGTTTTAATCTGATGCTGTGCTGCAGAGGATAATGAATCAAGATAAGACAAGTTTCCTTCCTTGGGTAAAAAAGGCAGCTAAATCCAATTAATAGATCTCCAGGTTAAATAAAAGCCTTTATAAAATGGAGATTTTGGCTGATTTTGTTTTTTCCCCCCAATTGGCTTACTGACGATAGTCGGAGATTTAGTTTGAATCTCTTCAGAAAGATTGGTGAACAGAAACTCTAAGGAAATCAGGAATAAAATGACGACACTAAAGGTTAAATATAGGTTAAAATAAAAAAAGAATGACTGGAGCAAAGGGGGAAACTGAGGAGCAATAATTAGTGAAGCAAGCTCAAAGAGACAGGAAAATTCACCCGAGGAGGGTGTAATTAATTAAATCGGTGTCATAAGAACGGCTGATAGAGATCTTAATTAATCTGAGATTCCAGAACAGAGGCCAATATGTATCTGAGAAATTATTAGACAGGAGTGAAAAATAAATCATCCGATCCCTGCTGCTCTGCACCAACTGTCCTCAGGAAACAAAACTCATTTTCTTCTTTGTTGCGATTTTGGAAACAACCCGCTGAAAGTGTGACTGTGACTTTCACTGTTTGGTGGAAACTTCAGCTGCATCCCAAAAAAGGAAGAGGAAAGGAGTTAGTATATAATACAGATGAAAAAGCAAGGTCGTGGAAACTCCAGGTAAAAGCAAGCAGATCTGTGCACACGTCGTCCTTGCTGCAGACAATATTTAATAATTGATGACACTTGGATCCAAGCTGGATCATCTTCAGGTCAAAAGTTTAAAGAATAAAGAGCGTGTCTGAGCATATCGCTTCCATCGGGAGGCCTGATCTGAAAAAGATCAAAGTTTAACAAAGATCTTGTCAATAATTAAGAATTATAAGCAGCAGGGCATCATGAGATTGGAGTAAGAATCATCCTCTCCATTTTCATTAGCTTTTACAAAGTCATCCTGACAGGCTGCATTACGTCTCGATGTGGAAATGCAGCACAATAAGCTGTGAAGGAGACTGAGGGCTTTTGGAGTGCAGGTGGCGCTATTCTGCTCTAATGTACAAAAAGACAGCGACATGAGCTGGGATGATTAAAAAACAAGCAAACTAAACACTTAACCTCAGAAAAATAATGTGTGCAATGCCAGCGTGTTGACTATGGTGTTTCATCTTTTCACTTGCTGCTTTCACATTCAATAGTCCTGTAGACTCGGTTCAATTCGGGGAAAACTTGCGACATTTGTTACATTTTCAGCTGTACACACTACACTGTATCAAACTGTTAATTCACAGTTCACAGTAGGATTTTCAACTTTGTTTGGTACACATTTCTTTTGGAGATTGACGTGAAATCTTTACTGAGTTTCTAGAGAAGTGATTTTATCTTAGAACCTGAAACAAGCAAAGGTTAGCCCTCTAAGTCTGAGGAACAGTCACCAAAGACAAGGTGCAACAAAAAGAAAAAGATAACAATTCAAATCTGGTTGGAGAAACATGAGGTTTCTGTTAATCAAACACCAGAAAATGTTCAAGGAGAGTGTTTAACTGAAATTCATAATTTGCCTCACTCTTCTGAAAAAACAAGACAAGCAAAATTTAAGGAGTCTAAATTGGAATATATCAAAGTACAGAAATACTTAATGAATCAGCTTGATGAGATGTTCGATATAAATAGTAAACTAAATGCTAAACGTAGACAGCAAAACGATCTGATAAAGAAAATACTCTCAGCGAGAAGACAAAGCAAGAATTCAATGGTTTCTGTTGAAATTCAGACAGATTCACAAGACAGCTCACAGCAGAAAGTAATCCATAACCAATCTGCTTCAGTACAAACGGAGATGGATGTACAGGAAACCAGCGATCAATTCAAACCAGTTCGTCAAACGATTTCGACGCGAACTGAGATGGATGTGCTAGAAAACAGATGTCACTTGAAACCAATCTGTCGAACGATTTCAACCCAAACCGAGATGGAAACCCTCAATAATGAAAAAGTTTCTGGAGCAAACAGTGAACAAGACATTTTAGTACCAGAAACAGTTGGGGATCAGACAGCCTCCATCAAAAATCACATTAATTTGATTGAAACAATAATCTGTAGCCCCCAGAAAATCTCTAAACGTAATGATATACAGAGTTTTATGGGTGTTGTCGCTATGTTTTGTATGTTATTAACTGTTATTCGTGTTGTGCATGTTAGCCATGTCTAATTTTATGACTGCTAACTGCAGCTAACTGTTCTCAACTAACTGCTGGCTCTTAAGTGTTGCTAGCTGCTGCTAGCTCTTAGCTGTTGCTAGCTGGTGCTAGCTGATGCTAACTGCTGTTAGCTGCTAATGGCTAACTGTTGTCAGCCGCTGCCAATTGCTCATTGGTAGGTATTTCTCTGCAGTTGGTTTAGAGTTATTTATTTTATTAAATGTATGGAGGCAGAAGCTGCTGGATTGTTAATCACCAACTTGATTTCATCTTTTGTTGGGATAAATACAGTGAACCTGAATGTGTCTGTCTTGAAGTCAACCTGCTGGACCTGAAGCGAACGCAGAAGAGTAACATTTAGGACTAAAATCATCTTGTATCAGTTTTTTCTTATATTTCTTTTTATTTTGTCTATTATTTTTCTATTATTTATTTTGTCTATTACTGTGCAAAACTATAACTGTACATAAATAGTAATAAAAAAATAATTTTAACTGAAAGTTGAGAAAAATGTATGCTCGACAGCTAAAACAATGACTGGAAATGGATGATTAAAGACGGGGAAACTTTTCTTTGTGAAGGAGTTGCAGGGAAAAGAAGCAAACCTTTGCAGTGACCTATAGATTAACAGGTGAAATGGATTCAGCTCCTGTGTTTTCCCCATTATCTCAGGACATCTCTCTGTTTTTGAACTTCTGCACGTCTTTAACTTCCTCCTCCCATGATGATCTCTATCTTGGGCTTTTCTTTCTGCCTCCTTGTTCCTCAGCTCCTCAAACGTTTTTCTCTTCTTTTTTTTCTCATGTTTAATATTAATGAAACCATGAGACGTGCATGAGATATAGAGTAGGTTTCACGATTCGCTCTCCAGTTGTTTTAAATACCATAAAAATCCTTTTAATGTCCCACTCACCCCCAGATATTATGGAAACTATTCCTCCAAAAATGGTTACAGCCAACAAGAGGATTACACGTCCTTTACCTTGCTCCTCTCA